TATACATTTTAGTTTGAGTGATCTTTTACAGTCTGTTTGGAAAGATGGTAACTGGAAAAAATGTCTCTAGAGCGAGTTATGCATACATTTATGTGGTTGTTCAGTTATATTATGATATGCTATTTGTATTTGAACAAAAGTCGCTTGCTAGGAGAAAATTATAAAGAAAACAAGCTTCAGTCAGAGGTATTCACGAATTTTTGGCCGGGTTATATCCTGGACCTTGCTTTTCATGTCGGCTGAGTTTGTTGTTAATCCGCGCCTTTACTCTTGGCGTTTTTCTTCAGGTTCTCCTCGTTTTTATTCTCATTAAATTAACATTCCGAATTCCAATTACTTGCGGAGAACCATACTTTGGGAAATGTTAAGTTTTTGTTCATTACTCTTGGTTTGTTTTCTTGTTGTATTTACAGGCTAAAAAAAAGTGTTTCGCCAGCTATGGCTACAAACCAGGAAGAACTTAACGAAGAAACAGAACGTAACCAGAAAAGACTGCGAAATTTTAGAACTTCTCTCACGAAACTTTATTTTAAGCTGAAAGGTTTAGATAAATCAGTATTTTAGAGGTCGCAGGTCTTTTGGATTGGATTGAGCTTAAGTCACTGAATTGCTATGGAGTTTTCGTGGTTTGATTGAAATTTTGATAAAGAGTAATTCTTAACTGACTGTGAAAAGTAATCCCGTACTGATTTTGTTTTCTTTATTTCGGTCTGTAATTTGTCTGGAAACTCGCTCAAAGTGCGAAAGAAATCAGATGCCAAACGGAAAATAACCGCGACTGATCGTTTGCCCCCAATTTTTGTAGTTTGCTTGTATTTCCTTTGAAACCTCATTGGCTAATAACGATGCAAACCTTCGTTATTATTGGCTGTTGTAATCACTTTGGTTTTTGGTTTACGCCGGCCAATTGGAAATTACTCCAAAAAACCATGAATTGCGTATTTTTGTTTTGCATTTATGGAGCATCTCTCATCCAGGATATTCATATGTCTAGTTGGTGCCGCCGTTGTGTGTTGACTTTTACAAGCTTTACTTAACAGTTTACTCTACATTTAAGTGCTTGGAGGGAAAATTTCCGATCGTTAATTCGTCCCTCATCAAATAAAAATTCAATAGACCTTTTTCTTCATATACATGTGTGAAAGCAAGCACGAAAATCGAGTATTTGTAGAGTATCACAGTTGTGTTCTGTACTATATGTTCATAAATAGATCATGAAATACAGTAAAATAAAAAGATTCGAACATAGAAAGATTTTCTTTTTGTTGTCTGTTTTTCTCCTACTTTGTACTTTCCTTTCTCGACCATGAAACGCCTATAGAAGGAAATTGTCGGGAATACTTAGTTCAAACTGGCGGAAACTTAAGCGAAATTAAAACGGGAGTGTTTGGTTATATCTTCGAAGATAAATTAAGTGTTCCTTGGAACTATGTCTCAACTATTTGATAAAGCGGTGTCCTTAACTCCTTTCCAGGTAATAAGTGTCTGACTTGGAATGTGCTTGTGTTAAAACTTTTATCATCTTG